TAAAGGATGGATAAAGATGTAGGTAGATTTTGAGGTGTAGAGTAGAAGAGACGGGGGATCTGATGATAGATGAATAGCCTTGAATTACTTTGTTAAAAAGGAAGTGAGATCATCTGAGAAATTTAGTGGTGGTACTTCAGAGGAAAAGGTTTGGAATAATTGCTGCAGGGACATATGGTCAATCAAGAAAATGTCAAGGATTGCTATATAGCAGTCAGCATCCAGTTTAGATTAAATAGCATAAATTTATCAGGGACACAGCATAATTGTATTATTTGCTCTGTAACATTCAGCAGCTGAGGAGTTGGAGCAGATAGCTATTATAGGGCTGAGGATCGTCAGAACATGAATATCAGAAAAAAAGTAACAAGGGATTGATTTGAAGATGAAGGACAACGAACAGTTAAAGCTAATTTGAGCATTCAATAAAGATTGTGAAAGGAGGAAAGTGAGGCCATAACTGGAGTGATAGACTGGAAGGGGACTGGAGAAGGCAAGAAGCATGAGGAAGAGGATGGAGAGGGGGAGAGGCAGAGTATTACTCATGTAACCATGGATTAGAGCTGGGAGCTCTAGGCCGCATGGACCCTTGGGAGATGAAGAATTTGAGGTCTCATTTTATAGGTTTTTTGGGGGGAACAGACTAACTCTTAAATGTGCTACCTTGGTTACTTCATTAACATATCCAAATCATTTCAGGGTTGTCAGGAAAACATTAAAGTTAACATATCCATGTTATCTCAAAATTATCAGCACCATTTGGTGATTTGCTGGTCTTTAATGTGGAAGTCTAGAATTTATCTGGGATTTACACATTATACGACCAAAAGGCCGGACAACAGAACCTAGTGGTTTCCCCTGAATCAGCACATATTATCGGGATGTGAATTTCTGGTTAACACATGATAACAGTTTGTAAATTATACTCCATTAATCTTTGGGATGGTTTGTATGTGACTTCCAGCTTCTCCTTTGTAATCTTACTTCCTGCTGTTGCTACTTTATACTTGCTACTTATGAAGCTATTTGCTATATTGACTAGGAGAGGGGAGGGTGGTCAGGAGGACCAGAACAAGATACAATTTTTACACAGGATAATTGTGCCCACCTCAGTGGGTGGTTGAGGTAAAGTGGAGATGAGAGTTGAGGAAGTTGATAAAGTAGGAGGCCAGGGTGTTTAAAGAGACATTAATTAATGTGAATTCCCTGGGTATAAGAGCAGGGATTAGTTGGAAAGACCATGATCCAGGTATTGAGAAGAGGAGACATTGGGGCTGACAGACATGAACAACAAGCATCAGGACAGGTGAGAAGGACAGAAGGAATGAACCTTAAAGTACAAACTGATGAATGTAAGCAGCAGAGAAAGTTTGAGAGCAGCAGTGGGAAGAAAGGGGTATGCCAACCTCCTCCTGTGCTGAAGCAGGGGGAAGGAGGGAGAATGAGGGACTGGAGAGGGTGGGTAAGCAGGAGGTGTTATCAGAAAAAAGCCAAATTTCTGTGAGCAAAAGAAGATGGAAGGAATTTAAGGGGGAAGAAATCTAGGATGAAATGAAGTTAGTGATAGAACAGTGATTGTGATGGGGTGCTTGTGCTTGTACTTGGATCCGAATTTCTCCCTAGTCTCAGAAACGCTGTCTCTGACAACCATTCCCCAGCCCAAGGACACTGTGCCTAGCAGTTATTCATGCATGGGCCTCAGCACAACCCTTATCTCTCTTCATAGCCCAGCTACACAAAGCTGGGTGAGAGAGTGCTGGGCTGCTCAGGCCCCAGCCCTCAGATCATGTCTCTGGAAGCCTCCCAATTCCTTAATAAGTTCCTGTCTTGTAAGAAAGCTTTCCCTTGTTGTAGCTCATTCTCTCATCAAGACAGAGAGAGAGGGGTGCCTTGCCCAGCCCAAGGAGTTTTGTCCTTGGCCAGCCCAAGAACTCTTCCTCCTGCCAGACTCCAAAGATCCATACCTCTGTCACTTCCCTCCCTGTCTGGTATACTCCCCGTACTTTCCTATCCATAGCCCCCAAAGACCCCTGCACCTGTGGATTACTTCATCAGTGTCCCTGGCATTTCTTTCCCATTCCCTTTTCCATATAAACCCTAGCTCCATCCTCAGTCTGTTGCAGGTTCCTTAAGAATCCTTGCCGCTGAAAAGCATAACAATTAATCTTTGCCACCTTGACTTGAAGAATGCTTGAGTCTGTGAATTCATTCCAGACGACCCATCCTGTACTCTGGTCTTTGAGGAGTCTCAATCTCTCCTACCTCAACAGTTGCAGAGGCACAGAAGAAGAGGAGAGAAGCAGAGAAGGACAGGGGAAAGGTAAGGATCAGAGTGTAGGGCAAAGGGATTTTTCATTTTGATGGCTAGAGACAGAATCACAGAATCAGAAGAGCTGCAGGGGAAAATTTGTTAGCCATAGGGCAAAAGAGCTATCAGTTGAGTGGATATTTGCTTAATGGTAATGGCAATTAGAGAAGGTGGTATAAAGAAAAAAAATCACAAGTCCTGGATCATATGCAACTAGGGATGCCAAACTAGGAAAGCTTTGAATAGAGGAGGCCCAATGAAAGACTTTGTCTGCTATTAAAGGGCCAGTCTAGAGATGAGGCTCATCTGCTAAGGAGGATGGAAATCTTTGTCCATGGGTAATCATTAAACAGATAAGATAAAGTCCTCAGCTGAGGTTAGAAGGAGTGGGGTTAGACACATACCTAAGTAACTGTAATAGAAAATGAAAAAAAACCAGTCTCAAAGCTAGGAAAACCTTAGTTTATGTCCTACCTCTGACATTACTTTTCAGTGGGAAGTTGATTGGCTTTGCCTAATTTTGTCTTCTCTTTTTCTTTTCTTTTCTTTTTTCTTTAATTTCTTTGTTATAATGAATGGCTGGCTCTTTGGGATGGGAGGAATCGGGACAGAATGGGAAAATCTATGTAAGGTAAAAACATTATCAATAAAAATCTGCTTTAAAAAAAAGACTGAGGGGGGCAGCTAGGTGGGGCAGTGGATAGAGCACCAACCCTGGAGTCAGGAAAACCTGAGTTCAAATTTGGCTTCAGACACATAACACTCACTATGTGACTCTGGGCAAGTCACTTAACCCTAATTGCCTCACCAAAACAACAACAAAAGACTGAGGTCAGAAATGAGTTTCCTCAGTCCCCCTTCTCCATTTTTTAACACTACTTAGCATCATCACTGCCTCTTCCTTTACTCCATTTACAGAAGACTCATTAAGGTGAATCTTGCCTGTACCCTGGAGTTCACTGCCCCTCATTTTCTCTAGGGCCTTGTTCCCCAAACCTTCCTTCTTATACATTCCTTCAGTCTCAGTCTCAGTCTCTCTCTTACATCTGTCTCTCTTTTTTTTTTTGTCTCTGTCTTTCTGCCTCTGCCTCAAATACAGATCTCTTCCTGTCTCCCTAAAGACCTGTTCAGATTTCCTCAATCCTAAAGAAGCATTTCTTTGACTCTTCTGGTGCCTCCAGCTACTCTCTCATCTTCCTCCTCTTTACCAAACTTACCAAGTAAGTTTTTATTGATAAATGCAAAGTTTTGGAATGTGACTGAAGGTTGAGCCTTTTCTTTTTTTAAAAGGTTGGTCATACTTTATAGAAGATCTACACTCAATGTTTCTACCTTGATATCTCACTCTCTCTTAGACCTCTTATAATCAAGCTTCCTCCCCTCTCATTTCTCTGGAACAGCTTGGAATCAATAAATCTCACTGTCTCTCTTTTCAGCTCTATTGAAATTACTGATTTTTTTTTTGAAGAAAGCTTAACCACATGCTGCCCTCTGCTGACCACTGAGACAGAGAATGAAAGACAAGTGACAGAGAAGGACAGAGAGACAGAGAGAAAAAGATAAAGAAGAGAGACAGAGAGAGCCAAACTTGGACAGAGTGCTAGGCTTGGACTCAGGAAGACCTAAGTACAAATCTGGCCTCAGACACTTTGTAGCTCTGTGACCCTAGACAAGTCACTTAATCTATATGCCTCAGTTTACTCATTTGTAAAATAGGGGCCATAATAGCACCTACTTCCTAGGGTTGTTGAGAGGCTCAAAAAAGATTAATAATTGTAAAGTGCTTGGCCCACAGTAAGCGCTATAACCGGTAGCTATTATTAGCTATTATAGACAGACTGATGGAGGCAGAAAAAGACAATGACAAAGACAGAAAGACAGAGGAAGACAAGGAGAGAACATGAGAGAGACAGAAACATAGCAACAGTCAGAAGGGGGGGGCAGACAGAAAGAGACAGAGATAGTGAAAAGGAGAAAGAGGGAATGAGAGACAGAGGTGAGCCAGAGACATACCAAGATAGAGAGAGAAAAAGAGCAAGAGAGAGAGACAGAGACAGACCGTGGCGCGGGGGGAGTGGTGGTGGAGCAGACAACCGGGGTCAAGGGAGACAGAGAGACAGAGTGGAATAACCCACAACAGCACTCCTCTAGCGCTGCAAGGTTTTACAAACACTTCCCTCACCAATACCCCGCAGAAGGAGGTAGTGCAAATTCAAGTATTGCCATTTTACAGACCAAGAACCTGAGGGTGAGAGAGGTTCAGGGACTTGCCTATGGTCACACAGCCAGTATAGAGCCGGACTCAAAACCTGGATTTAGTAGCCACGGTGCTCTCGGCATCCCGCAGCGGGGAGGGCACATTTTCCATCAATCACTGGGCACACATTTCTACGCTCCAGGTCGCGGAGAAAAGTTAAGTAAGCCCAGAACAGGAGCTGTGGAAAATGCATTCAACCGACAGAAAGAGCTATGTAGTGATCTGGGAGCTAGGAGAACCCTGGAGCGGCTAACGCCTCGGGGGCTTGGACTGCAGCTGGGAACACATCTTCCCCGCCTGCTTTTAGGCTAATTTACCCGGGGGATCGGCCACGCACAGGTGGGAGGAGTCGGGAGACTGAGTCTGCACACCGTAGGAGTCCTCGGCAGGGGGCGCTCCCGGGAGTCGGGCGACCTCGCGCAGCTCTCGCGAGGCCCGAGACTTCCTGCGAAGGCACCGGAAGGAGCTCCTTCGGTGCATGGCCACCCCCTGATCCATCTGGAGCTGCTCATTGAGGAACGGTACCGGCCGGCACCATGCAGTCAGATGACGTAAGTCTTCCCGGCTTTCACCGGGACCGAGGGGCGTCGGAGGAGACGCGACCTCGTCTCTTTCGCGTGCCAGGCAGGGGATGGACCCGACAGCTGATCCCAAACCAAGTCACGGAGTGAAGCCACGCCGAGGCTCGCGCTTCCCTTAGAGCTAGGCTCAGTGTCCACGCGCTCCGACCCTGGGCCGGGGAGCGCTGCTCACAGCCCCTACCCTGCCCCATGTCCCCTCCTCGGGCTCGACCTCTGACCCCGACCTCCGACCTTCGCGTTGGTCAGGGTAGAAGCAGCCTCACTAGTGTGTGGTAAACTGTTCGCTTTGTAAGAGAGACGGAGAGAAAGAGGCAGAGGAAATAGGAAAAATAAAAGGACTCAGATGGATCTGTGATCTCATATTCTGGTTGTTCGCTCCAACGATGCAGACTCCTGATTCCTGCCCTATCTGCTCTACCGAGTGTTTAACTGTACCTGTTCATTATTTCCCCCCTCCCCCTTTTCATGAGAGAAGGGGAGAAATCCCCCCGAAATTGTAGGCTTAAAGAATAAATACAACTTAACACTTGGAAGTTATTTTTGTTGGGGTGAGCTTTTAAGTGAACTTCACTGATGTTGGTGTTCATTTTGTGTTTTATTTTGGTACCAGTATTGAGGAGATAGGGGGTAAATATCTTTGGCTTTTATTTGCCATCATCCGAGGCTTGGATCCTCCTAACTGGACATATTTTATATACCTAACACTAGAAGGTAACTCAGCCAATTTCACACGTGAGGAAATTGAGTCCTAGAGAGGCTAACTGACTTGCCTAAGGTTGCACAGGTACATGGGATAGCTGGGATTCAAACTCAGGCCGTTGGATTATCAACCCAATGATGACCTTGATGCAGGGACAAGTTTCTTTTTTGTTTTTGTATTTCAAACTCCAAGTACAGTTCTTGGTACATAAAGAATGCTTAACAAATGCTTGTTATTCTTAATGTTATGCTATGCTGGTATTCCTATAAAAATAGCTAGCACTTATATAGTGCTTTCAGGTTTGCAAAGCACTTTACAAGTATTATCTCATTTGATCCTTACAACAACCCTGCAAAGTAGGTGCTATTATTATCCTCATTTTACAGATGAGGAAATTGAGGCAGACAGATTAAATGACTTGACCAGGATCACATAGACGATAAGTGTCTGAGACTGAAGTTGAACTCAGGTCTTTCTGACTCCAAGCCCAGTACTATCACTACACCAGCTAGATCGCTGTAAACTCTTTCCCCATTGCCACTTCATCTTTTTTACTGCTGCCAGAGTAATCTAGCCATGCCACTTTTTTTGCTAAAAGTCTTCTATCCTTCCCTTTTGCCTAAGGTGTGAAATTTGAACTTTTTGTTTGCCAGATAGCTAGGTGGCACAATGGATACAGCACTGGACTTCAAATCGGAGTTTAGACACTAGCAGTATGACCCTGAGCTAGATATTTAATCTCTTTCTCCCACAGTTTTCTTATGTGTGAAATAGGGATAATAATAGCATCTACTTCCTAGGGTTGTTATGAGGATCAAATGAGATAATATTTATAAATGCTAACTATTGTTGCTATTCTTTCAGGATGTCCTTAGTTTATATTTGCTATGATATTTGCTATCTCTAAAACACACTTTTCTGCTTGCTGTCTACAGGGTATCTGGAAATGACCTCTCCTGTACTTTGTGGGGTGGTAGGAAGAACAACAAAATAGAGGTCCTAGATTTAGAAGTGGAAGGGACTTTAGGGGTCATCTAGACCAACTCTCTTATTTTTCAGATAAAGATATTGAAGGTGCATTGCTTGAAGTTACACAGTTAGCAAGTGGCAGAACTGAGAGTTAATCTGACACCAAATCCTGCATTCCTTGTATCCTCTCCTATGCTGCATAATCCCTGCCCTTATGAAGCCTGCATTCTTATGTACATCCAAGATATATACAGAGAAGATGGAAGGTGATCTGAACGGGGAAGGCATTAGCAGCTGGAGGGAGTAGGTGTCCTGGATATGGCCTCCTGCAGAAGGTGGGCTTTGATCTGAGTCTTGAAGGATGCAAGGAAAACTACAAAGCAGAGATGTGAGCAGAACATTCCAGGCATAAAGGATATCCAGTGCAAAGTCATACAGTAGGCAAATGAAGTTCAAGGAACTGCCGTAGGTCATTGTAGCTGCATTATGGAGTATGGGTGTGTGTATTGGGGGTGGGGTGGGGGAGGGGAATAAGGTTTAAGAACACTGGCCAGGTATCTGTGATTCTAAATCCTGCCTATCCTTTAAGGCTCATTTTAAATGCCACCTCTTCCATGAAGCCTTCCCTAATTATCTCTTCTGCCCTCCCATCATCAGTATGTATCCTTCCCGTTTCCAACTCCTCCCTCTTAGGACCTTAAATAGCACTTGATTTGTACCCTATATATTTGAAGCATTGTGGTGTAGTAAATGGAGTGCTGGAATTGGGAAGATCTAGGTTCATACTCTGCCTATGATGTTAGCTATGCAGTCTTGGGCGGTTATCCTCTATATGCTTTGGGAGCAATGCCCCAGCATTTACCCTTGGTGCTAATGTAGTTTTATAATACTTTTATAATGTTTTTATAATACCTTTTTTAATAATAATACTGTTTTTCATAATACTTTTATAATGGGCTTTTATAAAGAGTTCTCTCATCTAAGCTATCTATGCAGAAATCAAAGAAATTTTCCCCTTATTTACATATATGCTTATGTATTATTTTAGATTATAATTATTTGTGTATATAAACACATGAGAGCACGAACTTTGTATTTTGTGCAGCCCCTACCACAGTGTTCTGTACCCAGTAGATGCATGCTAAATACCTGTTGATGTTTAAGTTGTTGAATTTAGGAAACTCTCCTATACATACAAATTATAAAAAATACATCCCTCAGATCATAGTTTGGCTTGTGATAATGACTTCGGGTTGGGGAAATCAGACTAACAGTTTTTCTCTGTCGTCAAAAATTAGGCCATGGCCAAACGCTTCTTCATTACATCTTGGAACAGCATCTAGAGCTGTAAGGATCCACAGAACTTGACCCTCCATTTTATAGATTTATCTCTAGAGAAGGAAAGTAACTTGCCCAAGGTCATATATCTAGTTTAATGGTACACCTATGTTCAGCTTTTCTGACTCTTAGGTCAGTTCTACTCACCATATCATGCTATCTCTCATCGTCTCTAAGTATGTTTCTCCAGGCCTGCTTTCTTCTGTAAGTCAGGGTTTATGTGTTTATGTCTGTTAACTACTAAAGGGTATTTTTCCTTTTGTCTTTGCAGGTTATCTGGGATGTGCTTGGAAACAAGCAGTTCTGTTCTTACAAAATGAAGTAAGAATCTAATTTCTAATTTTGGTTGAGGGGTTTCCTAGTTGAAAACTAGCAATTCATAGTACTATCTCTTTGCTCCTGCCCCCTAGAACCAAGACCCAGAACTTTTGTCGAAATGAATATAACCTCACTGGATTATGCAACCGTTCTTCCTGCCCATTAGCAAACAGCCAGTATGCTACCATCAAAGAAGAGAAAGGTAAGAACCCAGTTTTTTCTTCTTTAAAGGATTGCCTGATAAGCTTTTGTGAACCTCTTCTAGGTGTAAGTGTTCACAATAATAATGGCACACACTCTTCTCTTTCTCAGGTCAGTGCTACCTGTATATGAAGGTGATAGAACGAGCAGCTTTTCCTAGGCGCTTGTGGGAACGGGTAAGAATTAGAGGTGAAAAAGAAAGAGAAGCTGTGTGCCTGTTTTGCCTACTGCCTACCCCAATCATTTTAGTCCCTTTTTAGGGTTTAGCAAGGTGCTTTGAAATGCCTTCGTTTAATTGATATCTGTGTGAAAAATCATTTGAGAACCTTCCTGATATAAACTGTAATTGGCCATAAAAAAAAAAAGAGCTTTCCATTTTCCATTCCCACTTTTAAGTTTCTTTTTTGGTTCTGCAGGTCCGACTCAGTAAGAATTATGAGAAAGCTCTGGAGCAAATAGATGAAAATCTTATTTATTGGCCTCGCTTCCTTCGGCACAAATGTAAACAGCGGTTCACCAAGATCACCCAGTACCTGATTCGAATCCGTAAACTTACTTTAAAGCGACAGTAAGTGCTGTGATCCCCCCTCATTCTTTTTGATTCTTGATTCACTGTGTTTCCAGTGAGCATCTTCAGCCTTCTGAAACCTTTGGGCCTTGGCATTAAGTAGTCTTTTCTGACAAGTTATTGAAAAGAGACGAAGGGAAATGACTTGAAGCAGAACAGCTTATTTGTTTTTAGATTCCCAAGATATTGTACCTTTTGCAATGAAGCATTGCATTGCAAAAACTATAGAAAAATGATTACGATTATTACACTTTTTAAAATGCTAGTGTGAGGGGGGCAGTTAGGTGGTGCAGTGCATAGAACACCGGCCCTGGATTCAGGAGTTCAAATCTGGCCTCAGACACATAACACTTACTAGCTGTGTGACCCTGGGCAAGTCACTTAACCCCATTGCCTAGCCATGAGTGAATGAATGAATGAATGAATAAAATGCTAGTGAGGAAACAGTATTTTTTTTAAGGCATCAGCTACTAGCCTTACTAGCATCCTTTGTCTATGTTATTCTAAGAATATCACTTTAGTGACTAACCGGCATTCCTCAACATGGCAGATATGTCAGCCTTTCATAGAAAATTCCCTATTCTTTGTTCACCAAAGCATTCATCTTAGGAAAATTAGTAAAGATTTTGTAGAGTTGAGAAGGGCACCTAGGTGGCAAAGTGGTTATAATGCCAGGCCTGAAGTCAGGAAGACTCACCTTCCTGAGTTCTAATCTGGCCTCAGACATTTACTATCTGTGTGACCTTAGGCAAGTCACTTCCCCCTGTTTGCCTCAGTTTCCTTATTTGTAAAATGAGCTGGAGAAGAAATAGTGAATCACTCTAGAATTTTTGCCAAGAAAACCCCAAATGGGGTTATGAAGAGTCGGACATAACTGAAAATGACTGAACAGCAACAGAATTGAGAAAGGCATATAGCTAGTTACTAATATTCTCTGGATCATTTTTTTTTGTAGTAATAAGCCCATATTTTTTTTCCAAGCATTTGGTATCCTTTCCTTCAGGTATCTTGAAAATTGCTCCTTCACTACCCTCAGAGTTCTGTTATTTCTAGCATGAGCCTACTCTGTGTACTTGGTCTGGTCCCACTGCTCTTCCTCCCATCTTTGTTTAATTTAGTGCCATTTCTACTTCTTTATTCATCAAGGACTACAATTTTAGTTTCCAGTTGTGGTGGATCCACTGTTATTTAATAGAGAGGATATATAATATGTTGTGGCAATCTTGATAGGTTTTTTTTCCATTTTACTTTTTTGTCCTTCAGGTTCCATTTCTAAATACTCAAGATAAATGGCTTAATTGGATGTCTTGCCAGGTTTTCTGAAAATTTGGTTTTTTTCCCCACCATTGTTTTTTACTGTCTTAATAAGAAAGCTCATAATCTTTTGGCACTCTCCTTTGCAAGATTTTAGAAATGAGTTTATATCGTAAACCAGTGTTGCCTTTAGTTCTGATTGACATGAAGATTCGCTCTTTTGAATTGCTTTCTAGGCTCTTTTTATTTATTCTTGCAGGTTGATTTAAATTGATTAAACTAACTTAGGAAAATGGTGATAGTGAAATTTTTATTTTCTCCATTATCTTCCCTTTTAAAAAAAAATCAACAAAATATAAAATCTGAGCTTGGAGTTGTGTCATTTGTAAAACATATCTTCTTCTGATATTTGTTCAAACTTGGTAGAGTAATCTGACTATACCCAACTGATTGGGAAATTACTCCCATATTGGAAACTAGTTGTTTTCTGTCAGGATATAATTAATTAATTACTTGTATTTTTGTGATGTTATTTAATGCTTGCATAGTCTCAAGATTCTCCTTTCTTTCTCCCTCCCTCTTCCAAAACTCTTCTCTAAACCCTTTCTCTCTCTCTCTCCCTCTCTCCCCCCCTCTCTCTCCCCCTCTCCCTCCCTCTCCCTCTACCTCTGTCTCACCCTCTCTCCATCTCTTCTTTTTATTTGTTTTAAAATTCTGAACTTAAACACCAAAAAAGAACATTTCCACATGTGTAGCAGAACTAAAAATAGGATTGTATATGAAATTATGAGTCACCGTTTCATAGTTTTTTAAATATGTCTGTAATTTCAAGTGCTACTTTAACACCTGCCCTTTTTGTGCTTCCTTCCTTTTCTCTTTTTTTGCATTTTAAAAATTGTTCCATTGCCCCTCTTTTTGTCCATCCTTATTACTAATCTCCCCTTTCCTCTCAACTCTCCCACACCCCAAATTAAAAACAGAGAAGAAGAAAAATGTTTGTAACATATGACCATAGTCAAGCGAAACAAATCTGCACAGTGGCCATAATTAAAACTTAGGTCTTTTTTTATACTTTGAGTCCATCACTTCTTTGTCATTTGTCAAGAAGTAGGTAACATTCTTCATCATAGATTCTCTCAAGACTTGGTTGATCATTGCTTAATAGAAGTTTTTTACTGCTTCAGAGTTTTTTTTTTCTTTTCAGTGTATGAGTTGTCATTGTAAAAAATGTTTTGGTTCTATTCACTTCACTTTGCATTAATCTATACTTCTCAGGAGCCTTTCCAATATTTTAATGGTGCAACAATATGACATTATATTCATATAATATAGTGTGGTTAGCTGTTCTTTAGTTGAGGAGTACCCCCCCTTGGATTCCATTAATTTGTTTTTTAAAATTTTTGCCTTTTAATCACCTTTCAGGATTCTAAAGTTTGTTTTGCATATGACTATTCTCTCCCCTTTATTATCGTTCCTCTTAACACTGTTCTTCCTCACATACTTGTTTTACTTTTGAGTTTGATGTATTTCTACGACAAATTGTGTATGTGTAAGTTCAATCCTCCTTTATTTCATTTAAAAGTGAGATTCATCTGATGGCCACTCCCCTTCTCCTTCATGTTTTTATACCCTTCTTATGTACCCCAATTATGAGAGATATCCTGCTATTTGCCCCCTTTTTTCTCCTTTCTGCCTTAGCGTATTCCTTTTACTCTTTTACCCTTTCTTCTCTTTCTTTTCAACCAAAATTTGCCTTTTCTTGCCCCCTCCCCTGTTTGCAAGAAGCTTACATTTTAATGATGGAGAATTAAATGTATTCAAAATAAACGTAAAATGAATAAATACAAATATGTACAAAAGTAGTTAAATATAAGGTAGTTTTTCATATCATGGACCCCTTCTCAGAATGTTTTTAAATGCATAAAATAGAATACATAGGACTACAAAGGAAACAAACTGTATTGAAAAACAGTTATAAGAATATTAAAAAACAAGTTCATGGACCCCAGGTTAAAAACATGTTAGAGAATAAGGTACAACTATTTTCATGATTATGTTTTTGCAAATGTTTATCACAGTCAGTGCACAATGAGATGATTGGCATGTTTAATAAAAAGATATTTCATGTTATCTTTACGTATACAGTACCATGAATCAAACTCCAACTTCTTTATTTTCCTCTCCAAAGAGAATCTTTGATCTATCCTTTCATTTAACTACAACTTTCTTTTGACTTCATATTTCACATATAGAAAGAAAGTTAAGATTGATTGAGATGGGTTCAGGTTCTCCAGTAATGTCCACCTCTTGATCACTGAACAAATTTCTCAGCTTTACTATCACTATTATTACTACCAGCACCACTGCAGACATTTATATGATCCTTGCTCGAAACCTCAAGCCTTTATGACACAGTGGAACCTGCCAGAGTTTGTGTTTGTTACCATAGTCTTAAAATCCCAGGAGTACCTCCAGGCCTCATTGAGGCACTCGAATGGGACTCTGTGGAAGTTGTGGACTTGTCTATTGGGCCAGGCCCTAGAGAGTCAGCCCTTGTCTCCTTCATTCTGTAAGAGAGTAGAAAAATTTGCTGTTTCCCTAATTTGTAGAAGAAGATGTTGTTTCCCTAATTAATTTGTGTTTCTCTCTTATAGGAGGAAACTTGTTCCCTTGAGCAAAAAGGTGGAAAGGCGTGAAAAAAGACGAGAGGTAAAATGATTTTGAGGCACAGGGAAGGGACTTCTGAGAATGGTTTGATTAGCTTTGCCTCTGAGCTGCCCATAGTTCAGATTTTGTCTGGAAAAAGAGAATGATTGGGGCAGCTAGGTGACACAGTGGATAGAACACCGGCCCTGAAGTCAGGAGGACCTGAGTTCAAATCCATTCTCAGACCAAACACTTGACACTAGCTGTGTGACCTTGGGCAAGTCACTTAACCCCAACTGCCTAAGCAAAAAAAAAGAAAGAAAGAAAAAAAGAGAACTATTGCTTCATCCCATAGTGTTGATAAAACATATTTTCTGTAATACCAAGGTTATTGTCCCATGGCTTTCATCCCATATTAAGTGTTGGTATTTTAGGATATATGGAATAAACCAGAAGGAAAACCACGTTAATAGTTTGTTCTGGGATTGTTTGCTCCTTTGGAGATTATTAGGCATTTTTATACTAAACAGTTCAAAGTTACCATTATGCTACATTCCTGACTGCTTGCTCTCTCCCAGGCTCCAGTTTATTTCCAGCTTGGTGTCCTCACCAGCATGTCAACCCCATCATGTCTGAAACTGACCTCACTCATCTTGTTTCATCCCCCAAACTATTTCTTTTTATCCTTATTTCTGTTACCCCAGAGATAGAGCCACTGGACCTGGAGTCAGGGAGACCTAAGTCCAAATCCCACCTCTGACACTTGGTAGCTTTGTGATCCTGGGCAAGTCACTTCATCTCTGCCTGCCTCCGTTTTTCTATTTGTAAAATGGGGGCGATAATGGCACCTACTTCATGGTTCTTGTGGTGATCAAACAGGGTAATATTCATGAATGGCTTTGCAAACTTTAAAGCAGTATTTATATGCTAGCTATTATTATCAATGGCATCGGTGTTTTGTCTCTTCCAAGTTATGCTTCTCCCACAGTATCTCATCAGTAGTAAAATCACATTCTCTCTCACATTTTCTGGCCTTCCTATTCCTTCTACCACCACTCTAGTTCAGGTCCCCCTGTGCCTTTAGCCAAGCCTATTGTAGATTGTTAATTGATTTACAGTATCTCTAACTTCAGTTCATCCTTTGTACTGTGAGACTCATGAGTAATTCATTTGTTTTGTAGATTTTTAAAGTGTAACATAAATCTCATTAATATAGTTGTTTTACAGTGTGGTAGCTTTAATTTTCTGGCCATGTCTGCCATTATTCCTCTATATACCAAACTGGACAGCTCAATATTCCTCAGAGCCCTGTGCTTTTTCTTCTCATTCTCTTTCTAGTGTAATTTGTTCAAATCAAATTGAATTACTCACCATTTTTTAAACAATCATGCTACTTCCCCCATTGACTTCCTTGCCCAAGCTGTCCATCTCTTATCTATCCAAATCCTAATCTATCTTAACTCCTTTCTTTGAATTCTAAAGTACTAGTTAGTACATTGTACCTCTTATCTATCACTTAACACAATCTACCTTTTAGGGTTTTTTTTATATTTTTCTCTTCTTTGTATTATATTTTTAATTTTATTCATTTAAAATATTTTGTATTTGTCTCTTCTGTATTAATCTTACTTAAGGGCAAGGATCCTGTCTTACTGCTATCAGTGTTTTGAATATAGTAGGCACACCATAAAATTGAGCTGAAGGGTGGCTGAAGATTGATAAAGATGGGCAGGCAAGAGGTGAGGAGTGTAGAAATTTAGGGAAAAGGAATTCAAGCATTGGCATAAGGCCTGTGAATTCTGTCTTTACATCCTTTCTGCTATGCTTTAAGTCACCTTTCCAGTGATGTCTTTCTTTTACTCAAGTAAAGTTTGACTCTGATAAGCAATAAACCTCCCTCCCACTAGCAATGTGTTAAAAATATGTTTTATAAATAGTCATTTAGAGAATGAAACTAGAAGGGCCTTGCTTTCCTTTGGATGATGAATTTTGTGAAAACAGATCATTATGTAAAAGCTTCTAATTCCTAGTATTCCTTAGCACCGTTAGATTTTTTAGAACATTAATGTTAATGGTGACTCTTCCTAGCCTTTACAAAGTTGAGGACTCTGGACTCCTCAGTCCTGTGCAGAGCTCTTTGCATGTCAAATGGCTTTTCCACATTTGTCTTACAATGTTATAATAAAGATATTTGCTAAAGATATTGGTGTTAACTTTGTAGAAATGATTGAGACAATTTTATAGGATAATGTAGGGAAGGAAGCTCCTTGTTGGTTAATGCAACTACTGATAGTAGAACGTGTATATTTTCATGCTGAAATCTTATAGTTCTTCAGATTTGAAGGTGCTAATTTTTTCTTTATATTGATGCAATATTTTTTTTTCTTTTAGGAAAAAGCATTAATAGCTGCTCAGCTAGATAATGCAATAGAAAAGGAATTATTGGAGAGGCTAAAACAAGATACGGTAAGACAATTGATAACGGGGGTATATAATCGAATTTTTTTAGACTGTTTCCCTTGCTAGTGAAAATTGGGAATCTTTTAATTTTTTTGGTGAGGGCATTTACAGGGGGGAGAGGGACTTGATTATGAGAAGGTAGAAGAGAATCCACTGGTTTTTTTAGTGTCTTCCATAGAGGGAATTTTATGGGTGTAGTAAAAAGATTTGGAGTCAGGATTGAATTGAATTGAATTGAAATCTTAGCTCTTAATACTGATTTTATGACTGTTGACAAATACCTTGAATTCTTTGAGCCTTAGTTCCCACATTTGTAAAATATGGATAACAATTGTATTACATACTCCCTCATAGGGTTATCATGTGAAAAATGAAAATGCTTTTTAAGCCATAAAATACTGTAAATGGGAGTTATTTTTTATTTGATTTGATATTAATTATTGCTATTTTTATTTTTGAAAACTATACTGGCATGGCTTCCACTCTATCCTCTTGCTTCTCCGAAGAAAAAAATTTTAACTGGTTTTGTACATTCCTCTGTACATCACACTCAACTTCATAGAAATAATTAGCCACAAGGGGGCAACTCAACAGGTTGGCCCATAAGTTCAAGCCTTCCTAGCTCCTTTTCTTTCTTTTGCTTTGAAGTATTGAAAATAAGGTAAGGGGCACTTTAAGAGTCTGATGTTGGACCACTGGGAGGTTAATTAACATATACCATCTACAACCTTATACCTATAGAGCACTGGGAAGAGGGAGGAATGATTAGGTAATTGCTTGTTAGAAAGTGGGATTCCAGGTATTTTTTCCTGTTGTGATTAAAGCCAGATTTGTATGTTGTGTTCCACAGTATGGTGACATCTACAACTTCCCCATTCATGCCTTTGACAAAGCTTTGGAACATCAGGAGGTTGAAAGTGACACCTCAGACACTGAAGAGAAAGATGAAGAAGAGGAGGAAGAAGAAGATGATGTAAACTTTGTTGACATTTTTCATACATTTACATGACTCCTCTATGACTAGTTCCATATAAGCAACCATAGTGACTTGTATCTTCAGTCTCTTTGCCAGAAATGACTATTTGGTTCTGATTGCTTTTCTGCTACCACTGATGGCTAATTATCATTCACCTGCCTTGCCTGTAATGATTCAGTTGCTGATATGATACATGGATGCATGATTTCTCTCAGTTCGTCATTGAAACTATTACCAAGAGCCAAACAGATTTCCTAAGTTGTACCTAAATTTGTGGAAGGTACAGGCCTAGTATAGCCTTCAAGATTGTTTTAGTCTTCATCTACCAGGCAAGTCAGTTTAATAGAAGAGCCAGTTGAGCAAGTAGATGTTTTTGACCACCTGGCAGGTTTCTTAGAAAATGTTTGTTATGAACAATATTTGATGTAAGTTGACTACATAGTAACCATTTTTGGGAGCCTTTTCTATTGGTCGGTTAACAATGAGTGCTTTCCTACTTTGTTTACTTCTGATTCTAAGAGAATCTGTGTTAGGTTAATGGGAAAGCATTTCAACAAGTAATAACAACTAGGTTTACGTACCTGAGGTATAAACTGTTTTTACCTTGTGCTTCTTCCTTTAATTGGTTGACCCTATAAAAATACCAGACTACCACTAGAAGGTAGCCAGATCCTGCTTTACTCTGGGAGGATTTTTTAATGAATCATTTTGAAATATTATAAAAGATGTTGGCCATCTGTAGCCAGCCTCGATCCTTTTGGTTGTGTTTTGGATCTAAAAGGGATGATCTCTTTCAGGACTTGAACAAAAGGGAATTTGTGGCAGATGATGAGGTGGAAGAGAGTGACGTCAGTGATTTTGAGGTAAGTTGTATAGGTACAAGAGGGCCTGTCATGGCAGGTTGGAGAGATGGAATGTGAGGATATTCAGAGGAACAGGAACACTCACAAATATCCAATTTCTCAATTTTTAGAGCATAAGCCATGATAGTGTGGCTCTCACTGGAGATAGTGGGAGGGGATGGAAGGCACTTTGTAATAGTCAGTCTGCATGTGGAATTACACTTTGTAATTTTTTTTTTCACTCATTACTAGGATATGGATAAATTAGAAGCTACCAGTGAAGAAGATGAGGAGAAATCCAGTGATGAAGAAGAAAAGGCTGCTACTGCCAAACACAAAGGCAAAGCCCCATTGAAAGGCCCTGTGAAGAGAAAGCGAGCCTATGTGGAAATAGAGTATGAGCAGGAGACAGAAACAGTGACCAGACCCCAGACTGCCTGATTGTCTTCAGGCATTTTGTGTGTTTAAAGGCTTTGTTTTTAAACACACAGTTTTCATCCAAATACTCATACTTTTCTTCTTTGTGAAAGGATGGAGAAAACCTTAAACTTTGATCAGGATTTTCATGGGAGAGGCAGATATTAAAGTAGCAGTTGGGCTGGAGAATGCTCACAGGTTGGGGATAAGCTTGTGGATAGAAACATTCCAGCGCTTTAGAATGGCATATCATTTCCCACTTGATTTCACTCTTGTTGTTTAGTCGTGTCTGACTCTTCATGATTCATTTGGGGTTTTCTTGGCAAAGAGACTGGAGCAGTTCCATTTTGTTCTCCATCTCATTTTACAAATGAGGAAACTGAGGCAGAGTTAAGTGACTTACCCAGGGTCACACAGCTAGTAAATGTCTGAGGCCAGATTTGAACTCAGGTCTTTCTAGCTACAGGCCTGGCATTCTATCCACTGTGCCACCTAGCCACCCTTGATTTCACTCCTTTTTGCTTAAGATGTTTTTTATTCTTCTTGGTCCCTGCTCCTATGGAGTTAAAGGGAAAAAAGAAACAGGCCACCCTATTTCCAGTCCCTTTCGTATTGAGTGGGAAATCTTTCTGCTCCTGAAACTACCTTTGTAATTCAAACTACAGGGAAGACACAGGATTCCTTTTCTTCAGGTTGATGGATGATGAAGGAAAGGTAACATTTTATCTTCAAATAAGAAAAAATATATTTATTTTTTTTTAAAGGCAGCGTATCTGTCTACATTCCAGCTTCAGTTGGTATTCCTGAAAGCTGTTGTACTTTTCTGATACAATCTAGTACCTTGTCATCTTTACAACTTTGGACGGCTTTGGCTAGCAGACTCTGAAACAGAAAAAAAAAAGTCATACTTTGATGTTTTCATCTACTCTGGTTTATTGATTCTCCTCTTCTACAAACATCTCACCCACAGTAGGAAGAAAGAACTAAATGACATTCTAATCGAGTCATTCATGGACTGGTCAGAACAGGTTCTGATTTAACGTGGACGCATACCTTGGGAATTTTCTGCTGCCTTATGGACAGAAGCAGGAATCATGTAAATCACTTTGAGGTTTGGCGGCTAACATGCAAGAATTTGAATACACAAATGATGACAAACACTACCACCAGCTTTCTGAGATTTTTGTAGGTTAATAAAGTTTTAAACAAAAAAAGTGCACACAGATATTGAGTGAAACTTCGTTGAGAAGTTACCTTGTAACCAACCAACGACCTTTCCACGGGAGCAGATCAGTAGAATGTATAACACTACATTAATTTCAACCTGCTCAGCCCTAATGAGTCCATGACTGCTTATATTTACTCTTGGTGACATATGTTTATTCCTTAAAGAAAAATTACTCGATTGAAAATCAAAAAAAATGGTGTTTAAATTTTGTAAATTGCTATTGTTCAAAATGTCTCTCTTCCATTCAGGCCCAGGAAAAATCTGCTGTTGGGAAAGTGGCCTGACTGACTCCTCTTTAATTTCTGGCCTAAGATATTCAATGTTTGTAAAGAAGGGAGTTCCTAAATGCTACTAGCACTGGCCATATTTATGAAAACTTGTAAGGGGGATGTATCTTGAGGGCACATGCAGCTCTGGTTTTAAAACAGTTTGCCAGTTTATAGATAATCCACAGTTTTATTTCTAAGTTTGACTACTTTAAAAAGCAAACAAAAGTGTTTACATGTTTCCATTTTCATATCTACCCTTTTCATATAGTAACTACATGGCGTTTAGGTTCTGTATAGTTCTCATGTGTATTCCTTCAAGCCATACCTTCTGCTAATCCCTTGTCTTCTACCATTATTCAAAATATTCAGCTTTAGCAGAGGGGCAGGAAGAGCAGCTACAATTAGGGTAGTCACAGAGCTGAACTTTCTCAAGTACTCCCTGGAGCAGTAGAGATTAAGGGGCCAGAACTTGACAACAGAACTTGTTATTCATAGGTGAGTAATATACACATCCCTGAATAGCATCTTGCAGGTTATAATCAGTCCTAGGTGTCATCACCAGAGATGGCATTTAGGGGCCATTTTTTACTTACCGTCACCTGCCCAGAAGAGCAGTGGTCCAAGAGAGTAAGACAGTTGGCCTCCTTCAGCAGGGCTGCCTTCACAGGCTCAGGTGTTAGACTCTGGTCCCTCACCACATCACATACCATTTTTAGGAGGGTCTTCAGGAAGATTTCTAGTCTGCAAGGAATCCTGAGTCCAGGAATGTAAGAAAGCAGTTGTGACCAAACTTGTCAGTCATAGAATATTAAGATTGGAATAATAATATAGCTAACACTTATATAGTACTTACTATGTGCCAGGCACTGTGCTAAGTGCTTTACAGTTATCTCATTTGAACTTCATAACAGCCTTGCAAGGTAGGTGCTATTATTATCCCCATTTTATAGAGAAGGAAACTGAGGCAAACAAGTTATGTAGCTTGCCCAGGGTAAGCCAGTAACTATCTGATGTTAGATTTGAACTCAGGTCTTCCTGACTCCAGGCCCAGCACTCAATCTGCTGAGCCACCTAGTTCCCTATTAACTGTTCTCTATGCTTCATTTTAAAGAGGGCTTAACTGTTGGGGCTTAACTGAGGGTAAGTGATTTGCCTAGGGTCACCCAGCTAGTTTGACACATTGCCACAATTAGAACCCAGGTTTCTTGACTGTTCAGTGTTCTTTCTGTTACCTTATAGGCCTCTCATATGTGGCCTACAGTTCCCAAAACCTAGCCCAAGAGAAGTCAAACCAGCCTCTTTTGTTAGACCTGATAGCCCCCTGGCTTGGGAATGAGTAACTGCTAAATCTCAGTATTAGGAGAGTCTCTCTACCAGATCTAGAGCTGAAAAGGGTCTTAAGATTATCTCTTCCAGGGGCAGCTAGGTGGCACAGTGGATAGAGCACTGGCCCTGGGGTCAAGAGGACCTGAGTTCAAGTCCGGCCTCAGACACATCATACTTCTAGCTGTGTGACTCTGGGCAAGTCACTTAACCCCAACTGCCTCACTAAAAAAAAAAAAAGATTATCTCTTCCAGGGGTTCATGTATGTAGCATCCTTTTGGCAGGCTGGTGAAGCCTACTCACTAAATTTTTAAAAATTCATTATTAAAATGATAAATTTCAGTTAGTGAAAATAAATGGACTATTTTTCCCGCCTAAGTTCATGGACCCCCTGAAATAAATCCACAGACCTGTAGACCCTAGATTAATCCAACCTCCTTTCATAAAACAACAAAATGCACACTCAGAAAGGTTAAGTCACAAAGTAGCAGAGTCTGGATTCAAATTCAGGTCCTCTGATAACCTCTGCTATTTCTGTTACACCACTATTACCAGTGTTAGAGTAGCTATTTGACGCTGGGGTGAGGGAAATAATGTTTGAATATTTTTTTAAAAATTTTATATTTCACATTTCATAGTAACATCAGTAAAAATCCATGCTTTAGCTAAAAACACATCCATATCCTGCACACAGCCTGGCTAATCTTTCTTAAACAATTAGCATTATTTTTCTAAGACTTTCCCTCAAAAACCTACAGTGACTTAACAGAATAAGAGTTGCTAGACTAGGACTAAATCCTAGGTTCAAATCCTTCCTCAACTACTTTGTGGCAGTGGGAGCTGAGGCAAAGCACTTGACCTTGGAGAACCGTTTCCTCACAAGTTTGTTTTAAGGACCAAATGAGATAATGCATGTAAACTCTGCAAACTTTAATAGTACATACAGATTTCAGTTACTGATTTATATCCTAACTCATGTCTGGAATGAAGAGTTCACCAACATTTTTTCCATCCCCAAACAGTAGCCTTTGCTCCAGCCATATTGGCTTCCCCACCTACATGCACCTGTCTTCCATATCCACCATCCATGTGTTCCCTCCTTTGTGCTTTTGTTAATCCACTACTTAAGCCTGGAATCTCTCTCTTTCCTATCCCTAATTAAATCTTTTCCATCCTTCCAAGTCCAGCTCAAGCCTTAACTCCTCTGGAACCTTCCTTGACTAATCTGATTCCACAACTGTTCTCTCATGTTGAATCCCTTCAGCACTAATAAGGAAGAGCCGTAAAGACCATAATCTCATGTTATTATAGGTCTGTCCTCTCACTTAATCATGTCATTTTTTTTTTTACCCTGAGAGGGAACCTGAAGGCAAGAATACCAATATAAACAGCTTACAGGTCTGGCCCCAATGAAGGTTGGCTGTGTGGGTCTAGTGTAGGGTCCTCTGTTCAACTGGGCCCAGGTTAGGAATATTAGGAATATGACACAGTGGGTAGGGAACTGAACTAGAAGTCAGGAAGCTCTGGGTTCCAGTCCTACCTCAGAGGAGACTCTGTGACTCCATGTAAGGCATTTGACCTTGCTGTGCTTGTTTTCTATTCTATAAAATGAGGAAGCTGGACTCAGTGACTTGTTATGTCTCTGGCTCTAGATCTATGACCCCTACTCTTGGTATGACTGGGCCTTTCAAGAGAATGGGTGGTTAGAGAGGGGCAGCCTTTGGTGTCAAGTGAAGAGAAATAAAGGTAGCCAGTGTCAGCATGGAAATGGGACCTCCTACTCATAACTCAGATATGTCTTCTGTCTCTGACCACCTTTTCCCTGAATACCTCTCATTTTCAAGCATTTAAAAGAATTCTAAACTCTTAAGTGGCACATACTGAATTATTTAAGTTCTAGACATTTCTGGGTACAGTTCTAAGGAGATGAAAATTAGGCTTTTCCTAGAAAAGAGAAGAGAATAAGAAAAAAAAAGCCCCTTTCTGGCTCTCATACCTTGGCCAACAATGCTGGATGGTAAGTTTAAGGGTTTCCAGTATCCTTAGCCTGGCCTCCTCCTCAGGTCCATCATAGACTTCCAGGTATCCTATAATCACTTGTTCCAGTCTTTTCAAGTGTCGCACTGTCAGGATCCCCAGCCTGAAAATGAGAAACATTGTGAACAATAACAGTAATAACTAACATCACAACTAAGGCTTCAAAAGCAGGCAGATAGGGAGCCCAGGGGCTCACCTCTGTACAAAAGCAGGCAGGTTCCTGGCATAGGTTCTTCGAAGGAGGAGGCGGTACTCTGGTTCCATATGGGTCAGGATCAACTGTAGCACATCATCACAGGGACCAGTGGGTCTACGCTCGGGGGCCTTCCAATGTAGCGGCCTCTCCAGGACAGGAAACAGATCCAGCAGACACTCTAACACTGCCTGAAACGTGAGAAGGAAAGGTGTCCAAAAGCCTTCTTTTATCCATTCCTATTTCTTGGCACGCGGGGATATTCCACAGAACATAGGAGGGCTCTAGGAATGTTG